TCTCTGATTGGCTGAAACACCAAACAGATCCTTGCAGCATTACCCATAATCCCCTCTGTTTCAGCCCTGTTTCCAAAGTGCTGATTCTCAGTGTGTTACTTTAGAATGACTTTGTATCCAAAAATACAATATGAATTATTAACCTGGTTATTAACTACCTTTTACTAATAGCTCAAATAAGCGATGTATTCATTAGCTGCACATTATCAATCCAGTATTATAATAAATCTGCATAATGAGTGATGCATTGTGAATATAATCATTTTAAACGTTTCCGTCAATTAAAAATGTTATTCATTCTTCCACCACTGCAAGTACATTTATGACATTTAAATTATATTACAATCATTATTTTAAATGTGACTTTATTTTGTGTATAAGTAGCCTACTGCCGAATTACAAAGTTGTTTTTTTACCAATAAACGTTCATTTGAAGCTATATAAGTGTGTGGGTTGATTGAAACGTAAAAAAAGCACATTTTCCCAAAACGACTTCTGTATTTTTACTTAGCAATGCTTTTACCTGTCATAAAGTAAGTTGAAAAAGATAAAAACATGAAGTCATCAGTTTTAAAGAGACCTAACATGTATCTGATCTTCTTTAGTGGTTTCTTTTTAAAGTACTTGCATCAGGTTTGAACGGCGGCTCGACGAGTCCGGCCTCCAGCATCCGGAAGTTTACTTTCCTGAAGAAACGATGATCCTGAACGTCTTTCCCCCCCGAAGCCAAACAGCCCAGACGCTCCTTGGGGTCTTTGTTCAGCAGCTGAGGAACAGAGACGTATATTTAGATATATGTATATATATATAGTCATTTCTACAAAGACCAGAGGTGAGAGGAGTACTTAGATCTGGTGCTTCAGTAAAAGTAGAAGTAGAAGTACTCAGGTCTTGTACTTGAGTAAAAGTAGAAGTACTCAGATCTTGTTCTTGAGTAAAAGTAGAAGTACTCAGATCTTGTACAAGTAGAAGTACTCAGATCTTGTTCTTGAGTAAAAGTAGAAGTACCAGAGTGTAGGAATACTCTGTTACAGTAAAAGTCCTGCATTCAAAATGTTCCTCAAGTAAAAGTATAAAAGTATTCTCATCAAAATATAGTTAAAGTAGCGACAGTAAAAGTAGAAGTACCAGAGTGTAGGAATACTCTGTTACAGTAAAAGTCCTGCATTCAAAATGTTCCTCAAGTGAAAGTAGAAAAGTATTCTCATCAAAATATAGTGAAAGTAGCGACAGTAAAAGTAGTCATTGTGCAGATTGGTCCATTTCAGAATAATAGATATGATATGTTTTATAATGATTGATCATGAAAGTGTTCTCAAAGCTGGTAAAGGTGCAGCTAGTTTGAATGACTTTGTATACTGCAGGGTAGCTTGTGGATTTACTCCAGGTGGAACTAAAGTCTGATTTAACACTTGATTAGATTATATTGATTTCAGACTCACGGAGGAACAGAGGTTTTTCACAGATTTCCCAAACTTCATCCCGAACTCCAGCGGTTCGTTCTGGATCCTCCTCTCCATCTCCGCGGCTTTGGGATGTTCTCCTTTTTGTCGGAGGGGGGGCTTCCCCGCCGTCATCTCGTAGATCAGACAGCCGAGACCCCACCAGTCCACGCTCAGCCCGTAGTGTTTGTGTCCGATCACCTCGGGGGCTGAAACCAGGAGGAAAACATCCAGAGTTTCAGGGGTTAGTGGAGGAAGAGAGAGGAACCCGAGGATGTTCAGGGTGAGTGTAAATATCTGATATGTATCCTTTATTGTTAGAAAATCATGTTAAACTTTGTTTTTATCTATATATAATATAATTATAATACCTGAAGATATAAGATATATACCCAAAGATCTTGAAGTGACTTATTTTGTATATATTGATTGTTGCGCTTTTATGTATGTCTTAATGTGTGCATATCTGTCTGTTGATTGTGTATATATCGGTATTTGCATACATATTTATATATATTTGTTTTTGTATTTGGGATTGTGGGAAATGGTATTTCGATCTCTCTGTCTGTACACACAAACTGAAAGATTGACTATAAAGTTGAATTTGACTTTGAGGTAATCTTATATTCCTTAAAGCAGGGGGGTCAAACTCAAATACACAGTGGGCCAACATTAATAAATGGGTACTAGTGGAGGGCCGGACTGGTTCAATGTTTATTGCAGAACTTATTGAAATGAACTTATTGCACATATTAAACCTGGAACTAACAAAGCTTAAATGATTGCCTATAAAAACAACATTAAACATTAAATAATCAGTTGCATTCATTTCTTATGGCTCTATCTGCAGCTTTTCCAGAGTCATTTCTTATGATTACATTTTCCCACAGGCCAACAACAGCTTCAACAAAACTATTTCCCTCAAAGAGAAAACCAAACATGCCCTGTTGTCGTGAGAGAGAAAGTGCAGAAGGAAACATCCATTAAACTCAGTGTGCTGCTCTGTGATGCTAGTTCAGATACTTGGCATCTCATCTTGGGTGCAAGGTCATCAATGTTTGGGCTCAGGCTCTGAGCTGAGGAGACCCTCAGGATGGAGTGAAGGTGTGCGTGCAATATACCGGCGGGCCAGATCTAACAGGAATTAGAAATTATCCTGCGGGCCGAAATTAAATCCACCAAGGGCCTGATTTGGCCCCCGGGCCTTGAGTTTGACACATGTGAGTTAAAGTGATGCAATTTGCAGTTAAAAAAATATGGTTTAAAGAGGTTTTAATCCAATCAAACACCAAATACTGTCTTTAATTGTCAACAAAGGCAAAAAGTAGAGAGAGAGAACTGAGCATGTTTTGTTATTTTACAGTCAGTGTCTTAACTGTATTTAATTAGGGTTAGTATGCTGTATTAATATGTATTTTCTTAAAAAAGACAAAAAATGTATTTATTTGTCATTAAATGTCTTTTTTATCTGATTTATTGTTTGATATTGTACTTCTTACACTTTTAACTGCACTTCCTTTCGTAGTGCATGCTCTGTAAAGATACAAATTCTTAAAATGCAAGAAAAAATAGATTATAAAATATAAATTCAACATATTGACCGATCTAAACGTACCCATGTACCCTGCGGTGCCCACCTTGCCCTTCACCAGCGAGCCCTCGCTCAGCCTCACAGCCAGGCCCAGGTCAGAGATGCGGATGTGTCCTGAAGGAAATAAACAACAAATATATTAATAGGAATCACCCAACCGGTTTATTTTTCCACCGTTAAGAAGACGGACTTTCCCTTCAGCTCTCAGTCAGCTCCTCCTCCAGAGCTGCTCAACCACAACATTTCATTCAGTACATTTACTCCAGCACAACACCCGAGTAGTGATAAGAAATATGTACCAAAAAAACACAGAGAATTGTCTGGAAAATGTCTTAAAACGCTCCAAAAATTATGTGAAAAATGTCTGAAAATTATAGGAGAGAAATGTCCAAAATAAACGAACCTGAGTAAATTCTGAGTGTTTCTTCCAATTTTGGTGAAAAGAAAAATGTAAAAATGCACAGAAGATTGTGTGGAAAACGTTTGAAAACGCTCCAAAAATTACGTGAAACATGTCTGAAAATTCCAGAAGTAATAGAGAGAAATGTCCAAAACAAACGTTACTAATTAAAGTATATTTGGAGCTAATACTTCTAAAACCTGAGTAGATTCTGAAGTGTTTCTTCCACCTCTTGTGAGAAAATTACTATTAAAAAAACACAGATAATGATGTGGCATAACGTCTGGAGAATGCCTCGGAGCTCTCCAAAAATGTTTGTTTAAAAAATACACAAAAGATTTAAAAAAAATGTGAAAAATTCCAGAAGAAATATTAAACAATTTCTGAAATGTTTCCAAAAGCCTTCGTGTAAAAAGTACCAAAAACAAATGATGATAAATAATGAAACTATCTGTTTATAATATTCCTTTACTTCTACTTTCAGTAGGTAACATTTTGAATTCAGGGCTTATTAATTAAGTAATTAAAGAAGGAAGATGGATCTACTTTCACAGAACACTTGGTGGAAAGTGTCTGAAAGAATCTGTTAAATGTATGTATGTGTGTAATATACAAACAACGTCAGAAACATGTCCAAAAGCATACATGGAAAGAAGATCCAAAAAACAAATGATGACGAATGATGAATCTGTTTTGTTTATTTACTTCTGTCCCTAACTATACCGGACTTTCCCTCGTAAGAGAGTATTTTAAGACCATAGCTTTTCTATTTATACTAAAGCTTCCTCCTCCTCTGGTTACGGCTCTCAACAGGAATGTGTAATAATTGAAAACACGAGGAACAAAAGGTAGATCCAGGTCTCCTAACCCTAACCTAAGAATGCAGGAACAGGTGCTTTTCTAAAAATAGAAACCACACCTGAGCGGAGTTCACTTCCTGAACCTTTGTTTGAACCGAAGGCAGAGGAGGACTGGCTCGACTCGAACCTTATCTTCAGAATCAAAACACAGACAGCGTTTCATCACCAGATCTACGCCATTAGATAAACATTACACGGTGGTCCAGAGATATGTATTAGCCACCAGTAACTAAGTACATTTACTCAGGTACGGTACTTAAGTACACTTTAGAGGTACTTGTACTTTACTTGAGTATTTCTGCTAATAAATATATTATTCTGAAATGGACCAATCTGCACAACGACGACTTTTACTGTCGCTACTTTCACTATATTTTGATGAGAATACTTTTCTACTTTTACTTGAGGAACATTTTGAATGAGGACTTTTACTGTAACAGAGTATTCCTACACTCTGGTACTTCTACTTTTACTCAAGTATAAGATCTGAGTACTTCTACTTTTACTCAAGTACAAGATCTGAGTACTTCTACTTTTACTCAAGTACCAGATCTGAGTACTTCTACTTTTACTCAAGACCTGAGTACTTCTACTTTTACTCAAGTACAATACCTGAGTACTTTTACTTTTACTCAAGTACAAGACCTGGTACTTCTACTTTTACTCAAGTATAAGATCTGAGTACTTCTACTTTTACTCAAGTACAATACCTGAGTACTTTTACTTTTACTCAAGTACAAGACCTGAGTACTTCTACTTTTACTCAAGACCTGAGTACTTCTACTTTTACTCAAGTACAATACCTGAGTACCTTTACTTTTACTCAAGTACAAGACCTGAGTACTTCTACTTTTACTCAAGTAGAAGATCTGAGTACTTCTACTTTTACTCAAGTAGAAGATCTGAGTACTTCTACTTTTACTCAAGTACAAGATCTGAGTACTTCTACTTTTACTCAAGTAGAAGATCTGAGTACTTCTACTTTTACTCAAGTACAAGATCTGAGTACTTCTACTTTTACTCAAGACCTGAGTACTTCTACTTTTACTCAAGTACAATACCTGAGTACTTCTACTTTTACTCAAGAACAAGATCTGAGTACTTCCAAGTACAAGACCTGAGTACTTCTACCTTTACTCAAGTACAAGATCTGAGTACTTCTACTTTTACTCAAGATCTGAGTACTTCTCCCTCCTCTGTTTCTCACTGACAGTGAAGGCATCACGATGCGTTCACTGTCTCTTACGTACCGTTGTCGTCCAGCAGGATGTTCTCTGGCTTCATGTCTCTGAGGAGGAAGCAAAGCAGTTTGTTAGAGGTGATGAGAGCAGAGATATCGAACATGTCGTGTACTTTTACTCAAGTACAAG